AGACTCAAACTGTAACAGAACATTTACAGTGGTGCCTCTGTTTTTGAACGTCTCCATTGACGAGCATTTCGGGTTATGAACGCCACAAACCCGGAAGGAAATGCTTCGGTTTTCGAACCCGCCTCGGGAGTCGAACCTGCCCCACGGCCTCTGCTGAGGGCAAGATCCTGAGGCCTCGCTGTCGGCTGTGGGTCCCTCAGTTTTCAAAGGTTTCAGAACTTGAACGGATTACATTAGAAAACTGAGGTACCACTGTATTTAGAAAATCACAGAGGTAAAAGTAGTTCGTAGAAGTGGGCTTAGGAAACAAGTTATAAAGGCAAAGGAAGTGCCCTTGAGCTTAGAAGTGAGGAAGGTAAAGGTGGTGTGCCTGAGGGAAGAGGAGGGGGTGCTGGAGGGAAGCCTGCTGTGTTCCCAGGAGGGAGAGTCNGAGAGAAGGGGGTGCTGGAGGGAAGCCTGCTGTGTTCCCAGGAGGGAGAGTGCTGGGTCCTCTTTCCTAAGGGTTTAAGGGTGGAGAGTTTAGGGGAAGATCTCCATAGAATATTCACTTTTCCAGGTGTGTCCTCTCAGGGTTGGGGTCTCCACTGATTGATTGGGTGGCACCAGAACAAGACGTCATTATTCAATGNTGTAGAAGAAGTGGGCTTAGGAAACAAGTTATAAAGGCAAAGGAAGTGCCCTTGAGCTTAGAAGTGAGGAAGGTAAAGGTGGTGTGCCTGAGGGAAGAGGAGGGGGTGCTGGAGGGAAGCCTGCTGTGTTCCCAGGAGGGAGAGTCCTGGGTCCTCTTTCCTAAGGGTTTAAGGGTGGAGAGTTTAGGGGAAGATCTCCATAGAATATTCACTTTTCCAGGTGTGTCCTCTCAGGGTTGGGGTCTCCACTGATTGATTGGGTGGCACCAGAACAAGACGTCATTATTCAATGCAGCTGATCCTGAGGTCAGCCTTGGTGTTGCTTGTCTGGTTTTACTACTTTTCTGGACCTGGAACTGAAGTACAACTGAGACCTAGATGTTATCACTAGGGAGAGAAGGTCAGAGGCCCAAACTTATGACCAGCGATAGGCTGGGGAGGAAAGGTCACCCTGGAGAGGAGATTCTACCTTATGATTGTCTGTTGCTAGGTACCCGGGGCTTTATGCCCTGGTGACCTTCTGTTCCTGGCCCATTGTCCTGCTCTGCTCAAGCCTGTCTAACTGCCTACCACACATCTATTGATGTCTCACTATGCTAAAACATGTATACAGTGTCTGAGATTAACTAGAGGTTGACCTACTTAAAATTGATCCTGATTTTGATATAACCTGTGCAAAACAACCAACGAGCTTTGTATAAATGGGCAACTTCTGTATTCATTATATAAAAATTTGGGCTGCTTGATATAATTAATCATTACTTTGTTCCTCTCTCCCACTATAGATCCCAGAACCTGGGACTTTTCATACATTTAATCTTGTGGTTTGGAACTCTCCATTCAGAAAGTGGTAATATATCACACCCAGTAGTCTAGGTTCATTATTCCAATAATACATCCTTTTGGAGGGGAAATTATAAGTGAAGAATAGTATTTGGGCAGAAACTATGACTAAAGCTTGACTACTTCTATAAGGTTAGATGAGAGGAGATCCCGGGCCATTATAATCTCCTGATTTGGCTCCTTATAGGGGCCAGTTTGATCTTTCACTAACATAAGATTTCTTAGGGGATAATTATCATGTACATGAGAGCATCTGTAAGTCCACTCACCCTCACAGCCAGGTTTATGCACTTCCTGTTGTGAGACATCATGGGTTTCCCTGTCCCCAGATAAAAGGACTTAGAATGATATGATTTGCCCTAGCTGATTTGGCTCAGTGGTTAGAGTGTTGGACTGCAGACTGAAGGGTTCTGGGTTTGATTCTAGCCAAGGGCACGTACCTCGGCTAGAATCCCCAGGCCCAGTGTGCAAGAGGCAACCAATCGATGTGTCTCTCTCATGTCAGTGTTTCTCTCTCCCTCTCTCTCCCAAATCAATAAATTACAATTAAAAAAAGGGAATGATCTGATTTTAACTAAATAGCCTCAGCCCCAGAATGGAGGAAGGACTGAAAAATTGTGCAAAGGTTTTCAGTTTAAAAACAAGAATAAGTGAGCAATGAGAAAAATGCAGTCCTGCCTCTTCTATTCCTAGTGTGGGTTTTTATCAGCCACATCACAGGGTAATCAGGCTGGAATTGGCCAAAATATATTAGATGTCATCCCGTTGGCCCCTTGAAATATAGATAGAAATCAGTTGCCTTTAACATTGACCCACACCCTAAAAGTAACTTGTATCTTGCATATAATTCATAAATATATGGGCATACTGGGAAGATGTGCTTTAGCAATGTCTTCAGGATAAGGGAATGCCACCAAAAAAGCTTAATTACCACTTCTAGGAGGGAATTGAAAGGGAAAATTGACTGTGGTTGATAAATGTGGTTGTTGATTGTGAAAGATCTTGAAAGAGCCCTCAAGGTAGATTAGGATTAGTAAGGAAGCACTAAGACTAAGGAACGCCTCCCCCGCCCCAGGCCTGGAGAAAAGTTTTCTTAGTCTTAGTGCTTCCTTTCTAATCCTCCTGTACCGGCTCTTTTAAAATCTTTCACAATCACCAGCCACCATGGATACTTGGAAAAGACTGACAGCTGTCAGAGGGGAGGGGGGTTGGGGGGCTGATTGAAAGAAGGTAAAGGGATTAGGCAATAAACACACACGTATAACATAGATACAGACAACAGTGTGGTGATAGCCAGAGGGAAAGCACGGTGGGGTACAGGCGGAGGTGGGCAAAGGCAGCGAGAATGCAGACAGAAGACTCTGCTTTGGCCAGTGCGCTATGATGCAGTGTGCAGACGATGTTTTGTTGAGTCGTACACTTGAAATCTGTATGGTTTTGTGAGCCAATGTTACCCCCAATAAATTAAATTTAAAAATAAATTAATAAAATTTTAAAAATAAAATAAAAATAAGTAAACTAAAAAAGCCCACAATAACAACAAATAGCTTAGAGTTGTTTGGGAAGGTGCAAGGAACACACGTAAAATATAGTTGTGAAGCTTATGACAGTGATTTTGATCATCTTTATCAAACCAGCTCTGGTCTCCCCCTAAGGACATGAAGGAGGAAGGTCAGAAGGTCAGGGTCCTCGGGATGGGTTCCTCTGTCTGTTGACGTGACCACCACGGGACGCCTGGAGTCCCTGCCTGCGCGGTATCATCATGCCTCCTGCTTCCCGAACTTCCTCACCTCCCGCACTTAGCGAGAGCTAACAAATGGGAAGGGGGGTGAGGGTTCTGTCTCGAATTCTGCACCTGTGTGCCCTAAAAACAAGCGTCAGCCGTCTCTTCCAGGAGTGGGGCGCAGGTGAAGGTGAACATCAGGGCAGAACTCGGAAGCCTGGACGTCTGCTTGGTCATCCTTAGAGTGTTATACAGCGGACTCTGCTTCCAGTCCTAACTGCACCGTTAATTAGCTGTATCATTTTGAGTCAGCCTGTTCAACTTTTTGATGCTCTGGTTCCTTATCTATAAAATGTGGACACTGAATGTCAGTCTCTCAGAGCTCTTGTGAGAAGGCAGATAAAGCACGTGCGCACAGGGCCCGGTCCCTACAGAGAGCTCAATAATGTTCACCCTGACGTCATTTTTATCGCTGTCCTGGTCCGAAGTTGTTTAATGTTTTTCTTCACCATGATCAGATTTCATTGAGAGTTAACAGCTATTGAACAAGTGGAGGTACTTTAAAAGTATGACATGATCAGGCATCCAAAACACAAAGCCTATATATAGTAAGTGCATCCTTATTTATTAAACTTGGAGATTTTTTTGCCCCAGCCTTGGCCAAAAAGGTCATTAAAAACGTAAACAAGTTTATGGTAGGTCACTTGCTTTTCTTAATTTTTCTGCTAAGAGCCAGCCTTTCTCTAATATGATTTGGTGCATCAAAATGAGTGGCAAAAGGCTATTATCAATTGTGGTTCCATCGAGCCTGGCTGGTCCCTTCTAAAGCAACAATTGAATGAATATTCAACTTCTCTTCATCTGTGACCTCCCCGCTCTGGCCCTCAGAGAGCTGAAAATAACCTGATCATTTTTAATCAGTTTATTAAACATTAGGCAGCTTGCTGATTTACTTTTAATCACATTCTGCAGATTTCTAGGCATTAATCTGGTGTTTATTATGAAAACTGCACATTTGTATTCTGGGGATTTTTTTAATAAAGAAAAACAATAATAGGAAATAATCAAGGCAGATTGTATGCATTAGGAGCATGCTAGAAGCGTTGCAGGTGTGTGCTAACCCACAGGCATGTGTCAATTCCCTTCCACTACCGTAAATGGGATTTTTGCGGTATTTCAGATGCCTTCTTTAGGTGGTCGTAAAGTTGAGTCCAGCTATGGGTTAGTTTTTCTCCACCTCTTGTCCTCACTAGGCAGTATCCTCTCATCTCTCAAAAGCAGGGTTAATGATAGTCAGCCTAGGACTGTCATAAGTCTCATTTTAGGACTAGTATTGGGAGTAGCCACATATCACCATTTGAAAAATGTTTTACAAAGAAAATCATAGGATATTGGCCCCTCACTGTTTTTTCTAAAACTGTTCTGTTCCTGTGAAAAGGGGGTATAGTCGGGAAGCAGAGTAAATACTAAAAATATACTCTCTATTGAACATCTTTGAATTTGAACAGTTTGCAAGCCACACTCTCTATCTCACAAATATGGAACAAGTCAAGACCCTAGCATGACCCTAGCCACAATTCCATATAACCTTTGGAAAGCCCCTCCACCATAACCATTCCTTTAGCAGTGATGGCTGTGGTCTGTTCCAGCCCCCACCCCATCCCATGCCCCACTCCAGGAATCCAAGCGGGGAAACAGGTACCTTCAGGCTCCTGGAGTGCCACCAGCAGTGCATCTCAGCAGTCTCTTGGAACAGGCACCTTCTCTCTCTTGCTCGTACCCATTTACTATTCTTTTTTCTCCAGGTTGAATATGTGATCAAGTGTGACATGTCAGCTCTGCAGAAGATTCTGTATCGCCACATGCAAGCCAAAGGGATCCTCCTCACAGATGGTTCCGAGAAAGATAAGAAGGTAGGTGGCAGAGGACGATGCAGTGCCGGCTGCACATGTCTACTCATGACTTGGACATCAAATACCCCCAGGAGGCATCCTGCTAATGCTGATTTGTTAAAGCAAATTACTGGGTCTCTTTTGTAGCTGTTGTAGCTGCCGAAGGAAATCTCTTAACCTCTTCGCTGTAAACTGCATTGGGGCAGGAAGAAAGGAGCAGGTTCCTATCACCAAAATAAGTTAGCTCTGCTCGTGTCAATTCTGCAGAAAATGTGTTCTGCCCAAAAGTGGGGTGGCATTTTAGAAGTTTCATTCATTGGGCATCTGTTCTGTGCTTCTGTCTGCCCAGAATCCTAGGGAATAGGTAGTTGTGTCACAAACCCATCAACTTGGCATAATTCATTCCTGGGGGATAAGTTAGTCCCAAGAAAGGTGTTATATCTGACCCAGAAACTGCCATATTTTTGGAGGAGCTTTGGACCACACGAGGTATAGGTTACTGAGAAGACCTATGGCCCTTCACCCTTTCTATAGAAGCCCATTTTGTAAAAATTGGAAATACCCAATCAGTTAATAATTTGTTCTGTTTCAACTCTCTCCACTTGTTCTCAGGGGAAAGGAGGTGCTAAGACACTTATGAACACTATCATGCAGCTGAGAAAAATCTGCAATCACCCATATATGTTTCAGCACATTGAGGTAAGTGTGTATCCTCTGTTTTGACCCTGATTCTGTTTGTGCTATTCCTACTAATATTACCTAAAAAAATTTTTTTAATAAAAAGATAAAACAGGGTTAAAACATGTGCAGACATTGAAACAACAATTCTGCCCATCTGATAGCTTAGTGGGCAGAATGAACAAATGTGAATTTTCTGGTCTTGGATGCTTTTTGGCACCAAGCACTTGAGCATCTGGAATTTTATAACCAAGAGTCTAAAGTGGTGAGAAAATGTTGTAAGCTATGGCTCATTGTGTGGGTTTGGGTGAGTGCTGTGGATTGCCTTGTTATGGCAGACTCTCTGAAATGGAAGATCATGATCAATACATCCTGTTTTCTCAGACAGATTCTGTGAAAAAGATTAAAATAATGTATTTATACCTGTTGAAGAGAAGGATGTTCTTGAAATATTTTTCCTGTAAAAGACGCTGACTTTGGTCTATTACTTAGATTTGTATTCTTGCTTTCCGGCTTCCATCGCAACGATGTAAATTCAGGCTTTGAAACTGTTGCTCTGTTCTCTAAGGAGCTGTTTTTAGGGGTGAGGACATTTTCTGCCCTATTCACTACACGTGAATAAGTTTCCTAAACTGACAGAGTTTCACCCCAGTAGGAACAATTGGTTTGAGCAGGCAGGAAAAGGAGACACATTGTAGTCTCCATCCTTCAGCCTTGCTGCTGATGCACATGGTCCTGGGGGCAGTTCCTTGCCTCCCACGTCCTGCTTTCCACTGCACATGCACAGGTGTCTGCACCAGTTTATTAAAAAATAAATTCATAGACGGTTCTGGGAAATTAAAGAGTTAATAGAGCATAAAATTGGGGTTGAATATTTGTGACTGACGATTCTTTTTTTCTCCCTTCTTTTTGGTAACCATGCTTGTCAGATAAGAGTATTTATCGCACGCCCTCCCTGTACTGGAGCCCTGTCCCAGCTGTGGTGGGGAATTAGAAAGACTTCTATATTGCTGTTGCCTTCAAGTCCAGAGAGCAAAGTATCTATAGACTAAAAAAGCCTAGATCTAGGTAAAATGATAACAGCCACAACACTAAAAAGAAATTCCACTGCCCTAGCCAGGTAGCTCCATTGGTTAGAGCATAGTCCAGATATGCCAAGGTTGAGGGTTCAATCCCTGGTCAGGACACATGCAGTAGTCAACCAATGAATGCATAAATAACTGGAACAATAAGTCGACATTTCTCTCTCTCCCCCTTTCTCTCTCATCAGTAAATTAAAAAAAAAAAGCCTTCAACAAGCACAACTATTTAAACATTTAGACCAGGGGTGGGGAACGTCTGGCCCAAGGGCCATATATGGCCCAGGAAATCATTTGGTCTGGCCCTGCCAAGGCAACCACAGGCAGGACTCAAAATTCAATAAATCCAGGAGCTTTTTTCATAGCTAATTTTTAAGTTGATAATTTTGTATGGCCCGCGAATGATGTTATAACTATCCAAATGGCCCTTGGCAGAAAAAAGGTTCCCCACCCCTGATTTAGACATATAATGGAAAGAGAATCCAATGTGCAATGAGTCTATACCTCAGCCCAGTTTGTAACTCAAATTGCTCCTACTGGGGTGAAGCTCTCAATTTAGGAAACTTAATCACATGTACTGACCTGATATAAATCACTCAGCCTCTGCCGGCTTTAGTGTACTTGACTTGTCATTAATGGTAACGGATTATAGGGCTGACAAGAGGACAAACTTTAAAACAAATAACATAGGAAGCATCTTGTAAACTGATAACATGTTAAACAGATGTAAGGTATCAATGAATTAGTGGTGGGGCTGTATGTTGGGTTGGGGGAGAGCCAAAAATATGTCTAATTATGAAAATGGGGTCATATCAAGTTAACCTGTCACCCACCATCTCACTTTTCCTAAAAATAATTTAAAGGTATTTACTCTGCTATATAGAGGGGCCTGGGGACTCATACTGTGAGAATTAAGTGTCAGTCTTCCCTCATTTTAGTTATTATACAAAATTAACTTTTGAAACATGCTAGGCCTTGTCAGGAAGGGGGATGACACAATCTCTCTAGCTTCTGTCTGTAGCACCTGGGAAAGGTGGAGGGAGAGGGCGATCTTAAAAGGAGCTGAGGTTAAGTAACATGCTCTCCATTCCACGCATATTTACATTTTGAATGGCAGTCAGTAGAAATCAGACCTTGATTTGCAATTTTTTTTAACATAAAAAACTTTCTGGAGCATATTCCTAGAAACAGGAGCCACAGTTATTGGCTAATGTATCACAGGTACGGATCAGGGACGGTGTGTGCATTTTGCCCTTGCCTTTGTTTTGTTTGCCACACCACCTTTGTTCGTACTAAATCATACCAGTAGTCCAGGCTTTTAATTGGTCTCCCTGCCTCCCTGGGGCCTTCAAACCAGAGTAATGAAAACAGTATTTTTTAAATTATGCTGATTCCTGATCTTATCACCGTCTACTGACACATATCTCTGGTTTTTACTGCCCTGCTTAGAGATAAGGTGAGATCCCAAAAATCTAGTAAGGAATGGCTGCCCTGTTCCGAGAGAGAAGGTGTGGTTCTTGGAGTCAGGGTTTGGGGCGGTTGTCCATGCAGGGCGGCATTCTGGGGGCATAGGCCTACCATAAGTGATGAGCATATTTGAGAGGACAGCCCAAAAGGAAAGATCTGGTCCCTTTGGAAGAAAAGCTTTGGTCACCGTGGAAGGAAGGGAAGCAGAAAAGGGAGACAGCTGGTGGCTAATGTGAAGGTGTGACATGCTCTCCTTCCCCACAGATGGTCTCCCTGCCTTAGGGAGGAATGGAAATCACATGGAGAGCAGCCATGTATTTCTCCCACAGAGTCAGGGAGGAGGGAGTTATGTGATTAAGTTCTGTATTTTAAAAGTGAAAGCTGGACACCTGAGGGAGCGCTGTACATTTAGGTCCTTATTTGTAATAAAGTGCAGTTTAGAAGGGATGTTAGGATTTCACTACACTAAGATTTAAAATGTATACGATCACCATTACTTTTATTGTTAAATATTTTCACAGCATATTTATGTGCACATTTTAGTCCTGATTTGCTTATATTAAGCTCTTCCTCTAGTCTAGACTCTAAGCTCCTTGGGGGTAGATATTTCAGTTGTTTCTGGATCCCCAGTACCTGCCTCACTCAGCCCTGGGCCAGTAGATGTTTAATCACTGTTTGATGAATGAACTAACCCTGTCATCTCTGCATGAGAGTCTAGAGACTTGCAGAAACTCACAGGAGACACATTTCTGGCAGAAAAAAAGTCTGAATTCAAAGACATTGAGTTTCTGGTTCATCTTAATAACAAGTATTCTTATTTCTTATTTTGTTTAATTATACTCTAGAAACAGACAGAATAACCTCACTAAAAGAGTAATCATTAAGGTAATAATTACATACCTGTTTTATTTTTCTCAATCGTTTTCTTTTTCTCTCTCTTTTAAAGGAATCCTTTGCTGAACACCTGGGCTATTCAAATGGGGTCATCAATGGGTAAATCTTAAACTTTTTTTTCTTCCAAAAAATAGTTTGTTGGTCCTACCTCAACTTTTCTCTCTATAGTGTTTTTTTTTATCCTACAAATACATACAGCCTGCCTCCTCAGCCCTCCTCTCCCCTCAGCAGAGCCTACAGAAGTTGTTAACCAAAATGATATCAGCATCTCTGGTACTTAACTGGCATAAATTACCACATGCCTTGAGGGAAAGTGGCTATTCAAAGGACATAGATCTCATTTAATAGACTTAATAGTATCCTAGTTCTAAAAGTGTTGTTCAAGCTTCAAAGGGTTGTTATTTATAACCGTAGTGTAGCTTAGGCTCGAAGAGGATTTATCATATTAAATTTCAAGTTGATATTTAATATTAACACGCAGGAGTAGAAAGGTCTCATCTGCTATAAATATGTGTGACTTTACAGTAATTTGTTAGAATACTCTGTATAAGAAACATTTCTCATTAGCAGTGGATGTTGAAGAGAATCACGCTTTGCAACAAGAAGAAAGAACATGTTGATAGAAAGTCTCTGTTCGGCTTGCTTTGCACCAGAGAAAATGAATTGTTAGGGTATAGGTGTTATTCTTGGGTCCCAAGGGCAGACTGTGTCACTGGGCTAAGAACCAGGAATTGGAGCCCATCCAGAACCAGTGCTACTGGGCCCTCCTGCCTTGCCTCCCCTCCCTTTCCTCTGGGTCCTGTGGTCACACCTGGTGCCATCACGTTGGCCAGGGCTGCGTGATAAAATCATGGCCACAGGGGCTGTTTGGAAGACAGTTCTCAGAGCAGGGGACATTGGGAAGACCTACAATTGGAAATGTGTCTGTTAGAGATAACACATACTGTGCTGTAAAATCAGCTACTGAATGATACATTTCAGTGTTAGAGACTGCCTGTGTGCTGGCGAGTTTTCCCAACAATACCAATCCTACAATAAAGTTTTAATAACATAACACATCCTTGTTGATAAAAGAGAGAAGTGGTTGATTGTGGAGAGGAAAAGGCCCTACTCTAGCTTATTGACAGTCTTCTCCATCTGATGGCCGTGCACAGCGCCCTATTTTTTACTTGAACTTCTACATAAGCCAGGACTCCTGCCTCCTCCCCAGTCTATCCCAACACAGTATACATGGTGATCTTAGAAAGTAACAACGTGTTGTTATCAATTCTCTCAGAGCAACTTGCCATCTTTTTAGTACTTATCGCAGTTTGTGGTTACCCATTTTGAAGGCAGGGATTCCGTTTTGTTTATGACTATACACGTGCCTAACAGTGTGCTCGGCACATAGTAGGTGCTCAATAAGTATTTAAATGAATCTTAAGTGCCCTAAATTAATAATTTCATATACTTAGTAAGGATGTAAGGAAATACAACCTATACATGTATGTGTGTGTTGCATATATAATGCACTCTTTATGAGTTTCGTATAAATGTATTTTATTTTTCCATTAAATACACTCACTGCTTTGGAGTGGATATTCATTCATTGATTCCACAGTTACTTATTGTTTCCTGTGCACAAGGCATTATATGAAAAGCAGAGTTATACTGGATCCTGCAAGAAGACAGCAGTAATACTGTCTTCTTGTTTTGCATTTTTGGGTTCAGGGCTGAGCTGTATCGGGCCTCAGGAAAGTTTGAGCTACTTGATCGTATTCTGCCAAAATTGAGAGCGACTAACCACCGCGTGCTGCTTTTCTGCCAGATGACGTCTCTCATGACCATCATGGAGGATTACTTTGCTTTTCGGAACTTCCTTTACCTGCGCCTCGACGGTGAGCACAAGGGGAATGGGACTGGGAAGGCGTGCTACTGCGAGTGCGGGGAAGACGGGCACTTAGACCCAATCTCAGCGGTAAAGGGGGGGGAAATTGTTGAAGATTAACTAACTGGGTGGGGTGCAGCTTTTCTAGATACCAATTTTTCTGCCCTCAAGCTTAAAATAAGCTGAAATCACTTTTACAGCTGTTGAAGCCAATGCAAGTGGGCTAGTGTCATTGATAAGTGCCACAATTAAATAAAACTGAAATAAAATTTAAAAACCCTCCTTGTTCTAAGCAGAACATATCTATATGTTACATTAAGAGATGGGGCTTCATTGTTTCCTGGATTTTGCAAACGATGTAAAATATTTTACCTGATATGAAGAGTGGAATTTAAATACTATGTCCTAACCCCCATGGCAGGGGATAACACTTTCAAAGAGTGGTGGTAAGTGGAAATAGCTAATAGACAGCCAGATGGGTTGAACGCCCCGACATAGAAGAGTACAGTATTACTAATACCAGTTTTTACCTAATTNAAAGTGGAAATAGCTAATAGCCAGGGTGGGTTGAATGCCCCGACATAGAAGAGTACAGTATTACTAATACCAGTTTTTACCTAATTCAATACACAAGTTATTGTTACATGCTAATTTAGTTCATGTTTCATTGAAAAGTTTTATTTTCAGTCCAACATTTTATCCACACATTTGCCATGAATTAGATATAGCTGGTTATGTACCAAACCTCAGACTTGCCATACTTGAGTTTTTAAGTGAATTCTCTTTATGATCTACCTCTTAGGGTATTTAAAAAAAAAAATTTAATTATACCTCTGACAGACTTGATTTTTTAAAATCTGTTTACCTCTCTCCTTCCAAGTCACTGAAAACAGATAAAATGGTTAAGTAAATGTTAATTTTTAATTCAGGACACAGTCACATCATCCACAGTCTGTCTCTTTGGGCAAATCTTCTGCATTGTCTCCTCCTCTGACCTGATCCTTCCTTCCCTCTCCCTGGGAGCGGTCGGCACTCCTTCAGCCCTGGTCATTTGAAGGGTAAACGCTCCTCCTGCTGCTCAGGTGAGGGGCAGCCCAGCCCTATTTTCCTCGGCTTTGTAGCCCCTCCCCCACAGGTGTCCTACGTGGCTGTCCTTTACTGCCGTGTGGCTTTTTGTTTGGAATCTCAGCTCCCTGAGGACAGCAACCCTGGAATGTTGACCTCTGAAATTTACCAGAAGTGATTTCCTTGAAACAGATCTATCTCTTGTTTTCTCACCAGGCTCAGGGAGTACCTTTAATAGTCTGTGGGTTGCTGCCCTTATCTATATTATTAGTAACAGTCATAAGAGCCTAGCCTTTCTGCAGTGCCTACCCCATGTGGGATGCCAGGCAGAGCACTTCCTGTGCATTACTAATTTAATTTTCTCAGCCAACAAGCTGCTCTTTTCCTGTTCACTGAGATTCTATTATGAGCCCCATTTAACAGATGAGGAAACAAAGGTTTTAGAAAGATGAGTTTACTTGCCAAAGGTTACACGTGAAGCAGATGGTGAAACCAGGTTCGAACTTAGATCCCTCTGCCTCCAAATTAGCCACTTTAGCAGATCCAGTGAGAGCTAGCCCATTTCTGAAAATATAGGCTGCTGCCCTAGCGACAGCATTTGAAGGATGAACTTAATTTTTTGAACTTAATTAAAAAAATGTAATTGATTGTTCGATTGAAAATCACCAGGCACCAGAGATACAAGACGAACGAGCCATCCACTGTTCCTGTTGTCAAAGCCCTTACCATTAGTTTAGGGGAGACAAGTAAGCAAGTCCCACCAAGTGTTACAGATGAAGTTGAGAAAGCCAGGCAGACTGTCACCCACAAGAAACAGCAGCCATTTGTTTTGGGGGTGGCACGAGTGATGGGCAAACAGTCAATATACACATGGATAAATTAGTACACATAGTTCCAACTACACCACTTCCATTCACTACCACCCTTAAGCCAATTGTTCAGAAGACTTCAGATTTTCATTGCCAAATTTGATGTCTCTGATTTTTGACCTCAGGAAAGGAAAAAAAGAAAAAACCCCACTTGGTGACAGCTAAGCAGATTTTTCTGCAAAGATTGCGGTTGCATGAATAGATTTGGCTACTATTCCATTATAGTCTTTGTTTTCCCTGGAAATGATTTTTGAGTGAAAGCAGGTGGTGAAGTTACATCCTAGAAGACAGAATTTTCCAAAAGCACTTGACACTCAGTTAAAATTAGTAATCATGAAAGCCTGGCAGTGTGTTCCTTCCGGCAATTTCTGCAGTTCTCAACACAGTTGCCCTTGCTATTAATTGTATTCTTGGTGATGTTCTACATCAAAGTCTAGAAGAACATGGGCTGGGTGCACATTAAATCCTGTGTCACCTACAAGGAGCATTTATTTGCCTGTGGATAAATCCTGACAAGGTAGTTTGAATCTCCCTGAGCAATATCCCAAAGATTGCTGATGATCAGCAAAGATCTTGACGTGGGGAACCTTTGACTAATGGAAATGGTAATGCAGCAAATTCTGAACGTTGTAATAAAAAAATGCCGTAGCTTTGCATGAAAAGTGATTTAATCGTATTTTTCCTTGGCTTTACAGTTTGTCAAGTTCCCAGCTATTTATATAGTTTAAATATATACCAGATACATGGTCGGTCTGTTGGCTTGAGGTATTGTCATAGAACCTGAAAACTCCTTTGACCAAATAATTTTGATGTTCCTTTTATTTTTCAGTGTTTTATTTTGTATTTAGGGTTATTTCATCCCAAGTAAGCATATCCACTAATCTTTTTTTTTATCATCACCCGAGGATATGTTTTTATTAATTTGAGAGAGAGAGGGAAAGGGAGAAAGAGAGAAAGGAACACTGATGTGAGAGAGGAACACCATTCGGTCGCCTCCCATACACGCCCTGATTGGGAATCGAGCCCTTAACCTTTTGGTGTATGGGACTGTGCTCCAACCTACTGAGCCACCCAGCCACCTCCTGGTATATGTGACGATGCACAACCAACTGAGCCACACTGGCTAGGGCTCTACTAATTAATCTTAATGCATGTGATCATTAACTGATTATTTTTTAGTGGATCAAAACTGAACTTCTACCCTGAGTGTATAGATGCACAGTTTTTGTACTCAGCTGTCAGAAAACAGTGATTATCTCTGGGAACTCCTTTCCGCATTTTAGATTTTTGTTTGTTTGTTTCTATGGTTTTTTATTTACTTCAAGGCAGAGGATAACTATGTGAACCATTACTTCATGCGAGTAATTTTTCAAAATTTATTGCAGCTGGAAAGAGGATGGTAGCGAAAAGGTTACAGGATAGAGCAGATCTTCCGTGAGCATCGTGAACACATAGTTCCCCATGATTTCAGAGAACCAGTTCTGAAAAGAAAAACAAGCCCACATGTCTGGAACCTCATTCAACCAAGTACATTTCGTGCTTCTCCCCCAAATTCTAAATTCTTACAATTCATTGTTGCAGAATTTGACCAGGTCACTAAACTTGAAGTCTAATTTAGAAAGTAAAATGAGCTCTGAAGAATGCAGCTTTATTAAATGAGAGCCCCCCAAAGCCGCAGCCGCTGTATGTGAGGAACGGCTTGTTTTTCCCTCCTCGAGAGGGTACTTACTATTTTTATTAATATGAAAAACAGATCCCCCATGTTTGGGAACTTGACCCTCATAGTAACTTGATTCCATTAGCTATAGTCACTTAACTGTTTTAATCCTCTGAAATAAATGGCTGGTGTATTTTCATCCTTAAAGACAGAACACTGTGCAGAAATGATGTTTGGATAGCAGGCTGTTAGGGACTATCACGTAACATGCATATATATTTCCCAATAGCCTCAAGCCTTTTTCAAACCTCTGCAGCTACACTTTTCCGGTGAAATATGTCCAGGTAGAATGCAGTGGGGTTTTTCCCTTGCACGGTGCAGTTCAGGTAAACTCATTACAGACCCACGGTATGTGATGGAGTGGCTGACTCGGGACACAAGTGTGGTGCCTTGGCATCTGAAAAATGAGCGCCAGAGTCTGTGGTTGGTTCTCTCTGCTTAGTCACTATTTTGGAATCTCTTCAGACCCCACCGGGAGAGCCATCGCTAGGTGTGTCACATGCTTCTGTGTTTGGTTTAGTTTGGCACCCTTTGAACTCAGTAGCAGAATGTCAACATGAGAAACAGACTGAGAGATTCCTTCTTTTTTTTTTCCTTTTAATTACTGCGCCTTTGAGCATTGCTAACAAGGATAAAAATATTCCATCCACATTTTATGTGTTTACCAGCCAGATCGTGCCCAGTAGGAATCCAAATGGTAAAGTGTAGTAGAAATCGATTTTCCTTTTGTTTCCATTCTCTTGGCATAAACAAGACCTCACACTAGTGCCTACCGGCAAAGTTGCTTTAAGCTATCATCATAATCGTTTTTTGCTGTGTGTGTGCGTGTGTATTTTTAAAAATATTTGGTGTTGTAAAGCACAGAAACACATCCAGAAAATGTTTTCGTTGAGTTCTAGGTCAGCATAAGAATGTTGTACAATCTGTAACATTGCAGAGGTGCCCAGTCCAAAATGTTCGAACTCTTTCAGCGTTTTGGAACCATGGGTAATAGACAAAAGTGTTCTGTCTTGATTTGAGAAGAGTCTCTTTCTATCTCTGTAATTTTTGTTTTTTAATTGCAAATGTTCATAGTTCCTTTCAAACATACAAAAAACCTCAGGGGAATACCTCACCAATGCTGAGAGGAGTCTGAGTATATTTCTCAAGGAAGCAGGCCTTTTCGTCTAACTCTGTGTCATTCTCAGACAGGAGTTAATTGGCAAATTTATTTTTCTGATCCCCTCAGGCACCACCAAGTCTGAAGATCGTGCTGCTTTGCTGAAGAAATTCAACGAACCTGGGTCCCAGTATTTCATTTTCTTGCTAAGCACAAGAGCTGGAGGCCTGGGCTTAAATCTTCAGGCCGCCGATACCGTGGTCATCTTTGACAGTGACTGGAACCCTCATCAGGTCTGCATGTCCCTGAGTTAGCTGCACAGCCTTCCCCCTAGAGAGGAACTAAAAAAACAGTAGTTTCATCATTCACATTGATGGGGCAGAGCAAAGTTCTACACAAGGGGACCATGTTTCCAAAGGGAAAATATTACGGCTATTTTCTTATCTCCCCTGGAGTGTATTGAGATTTCTTATTCATACCTTTGATGTGCCTTTGAAAGAGCTCGAGTTTGGGGTAGAAATACATAGTTTCTGCTTAGTTTTCACCTCGTTTCCTGGGATTGCCACTGAGGAAAGTACATTTGGTGAAAGATACATCAAAAATGTTCCAAAGTGAAAACAGCAGCAGTAGCAACTTGCATTGACTGGCCTCTTACTCTGAGTCCCAGGAAGCTTTAGGTAGCTTCCTCAAGGTCAAGCATGAATATATGATAGTTAGACTTGTATTCTGTCTGTTTTGCTTAAAATCATCATCAACAAATATTCTGTGGAGCAGCTACTATGAAGTTCTTTTAGCCGGTAGGTTTAGAGTTACCCTTTTAAAGGAGTCCTTTGATGATTAATAAAAAACAATCCAATGGGTCCCTTGTGGCACTGGGTTCATAAATTACCCTGGGAGGTTGTGCACCTGCCTCTAAGGTAATTGGATGGAATGATATTTATCAGGCTTGATTCATATTGGAACAAATGTTAACTCAAAATAGTAAAAAGGGAAACTAGCTCTAACATATGAATGTGAATTCCTACAGCAGCTTTGCCTGGGCTCGTCCCTGCACCTTGGTTTCCTCAGTGGTAAATATGCAGGTTAATACTGTCTCACTGGGTCATTGTGACGATTGGCAGGAAGGCAGGGTTCAAGGGTGCATTAGAATTATGGGGGAGCTTTTTAAAATTACACATGCCTGTTTCCTGCTGCCCTACCCCCAGTTTGAAGGTGCTTCCCCCACCCCATGTAGACTCTGCACCTTCTCTATGCATTCAGATGCTCCCAGGAGAGTCTGACATAAGTTTTCTCACACAGCTGAAGAGCACTGGTTTCCATAATAAACCAGCGGTCCCGAGCCTTTGGGTGGCCTCCAGTACTGGACCATTGCATACGCCACCTGTCACTCTCTAGGTGACTAGAGTAGAGTTACTCTCAAGTAACTCGATAGTTATTTTCTGACCTTAAAAAGGGTTTTGAGCCACCAACATGAAGTGTCTCCATTCCAAGTCTTCAGGAAGTATTTTAACATAGTTTTATATCCCACGTTTCATCCCAAAGTACAGGTAGAATTTGTGTTCGTGTGAGAGATCTGCAGTTCTCCTGTGGACCATTGTGCATTCAGTGTCTGTCCCATAGACATGTTCTGAGTGGCTGCTGTGGTACAGGCACTGAGCCAGCCTGGGTATCTGAGGGGAGGAATACGAGGTTGCTCTCCTCCAGGGATGCTTAGATTCCCCTCCTTGCTGCTGCCTGAATCTTCATTGAGAAAAAGTAGCCTGCCTGTAGGTGAATGGAGGGTTCACTAGGTTTTATCTTCTGAGGTAAACATTTCTATGGCATCTCAGTTGTCCACCTTCACTGACACAGTGCTAATTCTAAGACCCAAAGGAAGTCACTGTTTCTGGAAATGCTAATTTACCATGAGAAATGATATGTGGACATATATGCTTGTCTCTGTCTCTCTCTTCATCTCTCTCACACACATACAAACTTCTGTGACCAGTAGCTCAAGGTGGAGCTCCAAAATCAAAGTAAATTGCATGAACACCAAACGGTTCATTTTTAACTGCCTATGAATTAAAACTTAGGCAACAAAACGCAGGGCCCCAAATTCTGAGGATCTAATTTATCACAAATTTTTCACACTGGGCCATATATTTCTAGAAGGATTTATATCTGCCATAGGTAGATTCACTTCTACCTGGTTTCGTCAGCTACGCTGACTGGATTTTTCATGTCTGTCTCTTAAACATGGCCATTAGTTTGGGTGAACTGTTATTTATTTATTTTTTGGAAATCAGTGATTTTAGAGTGATATAATGAGTACCGATTTTTCATTTAAAAGGTAAGAACTAACTTCTGTCAAGCAACAACTCTGCCAGGTACCACAAAGCACTTAGCATAGCTTATTTCAGGTAACCCTCAAAATATTTTACACGTAAGGAAACCCGTCAATATTAACTTGCCGAGGGCCACAGCCAGGTTCAAACCCATGTTGTTCTGGGTTTGGGTTTGAGCCCTGGCTTCCGGCTCTTTCTACCCTGTACCCCTGCATAAATGTTGTATAACTCCCCAGATGAAAGTTGTGGAGCTTTTTTCTTTTTACCTATGCTTCTGCATACACTGAAAAAAATTGCTGTAATTATTCTTTATCATGTTGAATCAAAATCAAGGCATATTGATGAAATTGGGCGTTTATTTGATCTAGTGGACAGATTAAAGATAGAATCCCTAAACATTGCTAATTGGAGGCCCTAGAAGCAAAGATAGAACAGGGAGGTGGAATTAGCAATAAAGGCCTCAGGGTTACCAAGACACTCATTTCCAAACTGTTGATTGGAAACATGGGTGGGTGCTTTTATTTTTAACCCACGGGACTGGCGCTGTGTTGTTACTACAGAACAGTAAACCACAAAATCACCTTGGAGGCCCTCTTCTCAGGCTATAGTCACTGTGGTGAAATTTCAGACCACTAAGACCTCAGAAATATTGAATCATCCATTCAACAATTACAACATTTATTTCTTTGTCACAACAGCCTCCCCGCCCCCAGCATTTTGGCTTAGGGACTGACAGGCTTATGTTGTGTAAACTTTTTCAGCCAAGAAATACTAATTTTTGCCACTTTTCAGATTGATAGATGGCCTTAAACACACAAAGAAACACCACTACCACCATCACAAAGACACGAGACAAAACTAATTGCAACAAGTGCCAGAGGATTTAAGAACTCCTTACTCTGTTCGTACGTGTCCCACACCTGCTTCCTCACCGGCCGCATTCTGCTGCACCCGCATCTATTTTTGTGGTTTATCAGCGTCGTCTTGGACAGGGGTCAGCACTACGATCTATGGGCTGAGTCCGGCCCCGCCACCTGTGCTTGTACGACCTGCAAACAGAATGATTATCACATTTTTAAATATAAAATTGAAAAAATATCAGCCTTTTGGTGAGAACAGCTGCCCAGTGTTTGCTCCTGGCCCAGAGAGCCTGTACTGTTTGTTCTTGGGCCCATCGTGGAAATGGTTTCTGACCCTGTTCTAGGAAACAGTCAAGAGGTGAACAACATGAAACTTGCCATCTTGGTTCCTGCTTAGCTGTTCTGGTGATGATGTGTTGAGAAAGACGATTGAGCTAAAGGCTTGAAAGTAAAATTTAGGAGTTCCCCCCCCTTTGGATTTTAATTATCCACCTCACTTTTTTGGAAATAATCTAATTTGGATGAGTCCCAGCTGTGTTCATGGTTCAGCTGTCCAATATTAATTCACATATTCTGAGGAAAAACTTTCGCCTAATTAGTCATTTGATTGTACAGGTCCCTGCAGCAAAGACAGATCTTCCAGGCCGACTCTGGCCTGTTGTCTCCTTGTGTGAAACTCGTCTGGTCAAGAGGATGAGCTTACAGCTGTGGAGCATCAGCTCTGTGCAAAAATCAGTGCTAGGGACGCAGGACACAGGGATCAGACTTTGCCCTAAAAGTGTATACGGGTCTAATGGGGGACACATGGAAACAACTAATTAGTATTGCCCCAGAGACTTATCACCTGGACCAGAATGAATGAAACTTATAAACCAAGTTTTCATTGTGTGGCCTTAAAATTAAGTCACTCTGCTTCATAGACTTATGAAGGTTTTTATTTAAAGATTTCATTAAAACCTTTTTCTTATTAGAAGACTAATAGGTGTTTAAAGCAGAAAAAAATCATTAAACCACATGAAAATAAAATGAAAAAAATTTAATAGCACCTGTAATCTTATTACCTGGATATACAAACATTAACTGGCTTGTTGGTGTTTGTCCTTCCTGCCTTTTCTTGGTATAAATATGCACATATAAGGTCATAAAATACATACATATAACTTGTTTTCATATATAATAAGTTTTCACTTATAGCTTTGTGTCATTAAATCTACAATTTTTATGGTACTGTGTTTGTACATGCATACAAAGACTGTAATTTAATCAATCTGTTTTACTGAATGTTTCCTTAATTCTGCTTTAAAAAAAAAAAAAAAGCAAACATAAATAATATATAATGCTGAGAGGTGCGTCCTTATTTGTAGAAAACTTTGTTGCCTATCCATGATTATTTTCTTAGGACAAATTTCCAGAAGTGAAATTTCTGGGTCAGGGCCAGAAATTTAAATACTTTTGATTCATAGTGCCAAATTTATATCCCTAAAAAGTTTACCATAAAGTAATAGCAGCTTACTACTCTACTAGCAATCCTTTTTATTCCCCAAACTGAAGATTGAGTCTTTGACAGAATTAGATGCCAGGAAAGGTGCTATGTGAGCAATCACTGTATGTATAATGTATGTATGTATAACTCAGTGATGCTTTTAAAAATCATTTTTAACACCTTACACCAGAGAGAAGGTGTGTCCTCCAACTTAAGGTTAGTTGTAGGTAACATAAAATTTACTGTTGTGTTTTGTTTTGTTTTGTTTTGTTTTAGTTAGGGATTAATTCTGATAGTGAACCTACGGACAGATAAAAACAGCTTGAGACCTGGATTTCAAAACCTGAGGTGTATTTCGGTTGGCTTGGCTAATTTCATCCCAGGTTCCCTCAACTAGTAATGATGACCTTGAATTGTTCCCAAGAAAACAGCTTGCATAATTTTAAAATGTAAGCAAAATCCTACATTAGTAAAGGTGGATTTAAATGACCCTCCCATATTTCCCTGCCGGTGGGTGACTTGTTTGCTCGGCTCATGCAGGCACCTGGGCCCTCACAGCGTCACATTCTCTCCCGCAGGACCTGCAAGCCCAGGACCGCGCTCACCGCATCGGCCAGCAGAACGAGGTCCGGGTGCTGCGGCTCTGCACCGTGAACAGCGTGGAGGAGAAGATCCTGGCCGCCGCCAAGTACAAGCTGAATGTGGATCAGAAGGTGATCCAGGCGGGCATGTTCGACCAGAAGTCTTCGAGCCACGAGCGGAGGGCATTCCTGCAGGCCATCCTGGAGCACGAAGAAGAAAATGAGGTATTCCAGAGAGCAGGCTTTATGAAGTCAAACAGTGACCTTTTGTCTCAGAAGATTAAGAGTAACCTCTTTGTCTTTAAAGAACTTCCTGAGCTGGTGTTAATTAAAATGAATAAATTAGCCTCTATCTTCCATCCCCAGCATTGAAAGCCTCTGAAAGTTTTCCAAGAGTGTCTTAAAGCAGTTGCTGCAGGGATCTCAGGCTTGGCCAGAAGTAGATGCTTCCCTGGTTTCTCCCTGGAGGTGCAGTCAGCATGCTTGTACCGTAAAAGCTGCTTTCTGCAGAGCAGGTGCCAAACCCGCAGAGAGGCCACTGTCAGGGACGGAGTCAGCTGATGAGACGAGACAGAGCTGGGAGGGGCCCTTCTTGCCTTTTCCCTCTGCCATCCTGCAGAGCCCTCTGTTTCTTGCCTCTTGAATGGAGATCACAGCACTTCAGTTCATTTGTAGGACAAGCCCTCCAAGCCTTGTGAAGATAGTACCTGCCATGGTTTAGGTAGGATGCAGGGTAGCCTTGAGCTTTGCAGGGAGATGTTGATCTCTCCTGGGCCTGAGGGGGATCACCAGGTAGAGCCTGGAGTGGAATCGGATGCCACTTGCCTCCCTGTGAGCAGCCTGCTGGGGCTCCACACGCCTGCCAGGCAATTAGTGTATCAGACACGTTACCATTCTCTGGGTTGCCTGTGTCCTGATGTGAAGACATCTGGGGACACTAATAGACTGCAGTCAAGGGTTGTGGTCCTAAGTATCTGAGGCGGCATGGTCTGCCATCTCTGCCGTTGACAGGCCATGAATTACTGGGGCACAAAGAACCCAGGAAGATTTATTGCCCACTTCCCATTGAGTTTGTTTCTCTGTGAAGGTCTGGCTATTGCGGGCAGGCTTCTTGCCAGTTTACAAGAGAATCTTTTCATCTTGGGCCTGGGGAAAGTCCAGCCCCCCACTATAGGCAATGAAAGGCTATCGTGGTTCTAGGAATGGGGTGAGCAAAGCAGGACATCTCTTCACCAGAGGTTACATGAACCGGATTTTTCATACTGTCAAGTCCCAGCCCACCCCCAGCTTGTCTGTGTCCTTGTCAGATGAAATGTAATATTTAGACAAATTGACTTTAATCAATCTAAAGATAAACTAGAATAGATGATTTTTCACAGCACTAGTTTTTTACTTGATTGAATTGCATTCATTTCTAACACAGTGCATAAAATGTTATCTTGGGAACCAACAGTCATCTCATTTAAGCTGTTGGTACTTATACTCTTTCTAGATCAAAGTGACTCTTTTTAAGAAATGGGATGTTTAAAGTTCTGGGGTTTCCTCTTTCTTCCCTCTGCTGATATACTAAAGTTCCCCATTCGGTTTTTAACCAGCTCACTCAGCAGGTGATAAAAATAATTTTGTACTGTTAAGTTCCTTAGGATGTGCCCAACTTTTAGAATCATTGTTTTAAAAGTGTAAAAGTCATAGCATAACATTTCTAAAAACTCAAGAACTTTTGGTTTCTGAGGAATTTGCAGAGAGATCATGTTCCTTGGTCTACATAATGTAAAATGAAAATGTTAGCCTTTAACTAATTGCTTTTTCTACTTCATTTCAGTTGTTTTAATTAAGCATAGTTTTGTAGGGATTTTGTTGCTGAGCTGTCATATCCATAAACTTCATTGTTAGCATAATACTGCCCACTGAAATACATTGATTAAAAACATCTTGGCCCTGGCTGGGTAGCTCAGTAGGTTAGAGCATCGTCCTAATACACCAAGGTTGTGGGTTCCATCTCCAGTAGGGGCACATGCAGGAATCAACCAATGAATGCATAGATAGGTGGAACAACAAATTGTTTCTCTCTCTCTCTCTCCTTTCCTCTTTCTCTAAAATCAATTAAAAAAACACCCCACATATCTTAAAGGCTGTATATTTGCCATATGTATGATTTTTATGGTCTTGCTCTGTGCCCAGTCACAAAAGTTTCACATACTCATGTTTTTTATAAGGCTTTGAAAATGAGCATTTATATTTGGGATAAAGTTAATAGAGTGAAAAGAATTAATGCACTTTTTTATGTGGCTTTCCGTATTTAAATCTTACATCTTCTCTGTGATATAAATATCACACCCATTTTACAGCTGAGGTCATTGAGTCAGGGAGACATTAAGTAATTTGTTTTACGATAAGGGAATCAAAATACACGCCCAAGAGAACCAGTATTTCTTATAGTTCTCCCTAAACAGATTTTCCTCTGGGAAGATAGTTTGAATAACTTGGAAAATACTAATGACAAGTACTAAACCCAGTGACCCTTCTATTTTCTTTCTGGCTTGAGAAGCAGGACCCCTGTGGCCTGAAGGACAGATTCTTCCCGCCCCTTTGTACCTCACTCCAATCATCCAGCCTCTCTCCTAAAGCCTGTGAAATCATTCTGTTTCTCAACCCCAGGAAGAAGATGAAGTACCAGACGACGAGACTCTGAACCAAATGATCGCTCGACGAGAAGAAGAATTTGATCTTTTTATGGTAATATTATAGAAAATCATGGAAACAGATGCCTTATTCCTCTGCCCCCTTTTCCATGAACGAGAGATGTCTGGGGCCTGCGTGCCCTGGCAGAGTTGCGTTTCTGAAGCTCGTGCCTCTCTTTCAGTTCACAGGCTGCACACTGGCTGGATTTAGCCTGCAGACATATTTTGTTTGGCCCACGCAGTGTTTTTTAAAATTTCGAACTTGTTGCCAACATAAAAAGAATCCTGATTTCTGGCTGCTTTTAAAAAACGAGAGTGGGCAGTACCAGGCCCACATCTCTATATGGAAACAGTTGCCTGGAACAGGCCATGTGGACTACAGCTGACCACAAACCCCCTCTCCCCCCAGGTCATTTCTATTTGGGGGGGTGCAGCATCATTCAGGAGCCTGCCCTCTTCCTAGGGCAGGGTTTACAGCTCTTCCCTAGCTGTCTCCTTACTGGATCAAAACAAACATGCTGCCTGTGGGGGTGGGCAGACAGGGGTTGGCAGGCAGCAACTTAAAACAACAAGGTTGTGCCTCTTAGTGTTGAAGAGAGCCTGCTTACCCAAACTGGAACCTCCCAGGTGCACATCAAGATGTAGCCTTCACTTAAATATCAAAATTGGTTGGGTTCTACTGGTATAAAGTAGATGTAAAGAACCTTGACATTTGAGGATTTAACAGTCATGGTTTCAACCTTGACGGTTCAGGGTACGCAGTCGTCTAATTTTGCTGACACCTGAATTTGATGACGTGTGTGGCCTGCCAGGTCAATATGTGTGGGAGCAAGCCCCTTGGCCAATGAGAGAGAGGCTCTCAGAAGTAATCTTTTACTGCTGCGTTCTAAGGCTTTTGCTATAGCGATTTTATTTACCTATGTATCTGCAATGCTCAAAACAGCACGTGGTAGTTGCTTGATAAATATTTATTGAATGAGTGGTGGCATTTGCAAAATTTCAGGCCTTGTGAAGACATCAGTATGGATCGGGATGTATAAAGTCGGGCGAGGCTCCCTCCAGCACCTTCCATCTTTATAACATTTAGCCTGATTGTGGAGTGAGTGAATCAATTTAAACTGGAACTCTGGCATTTGAATGCTTCAGAACCCCCAAATCCAAGTCCTAAACTTGAATGCCCTCAGGTCTCAGACAAGTAATTTGCATGAGCAAAGCAAGCAGATGGGTGGGTGGATGGTGGTGAACTGGAGCTGCTTTATCTAAGGGCACGGAGCTGCAAACTCCATGAAGATAGAAATCCCAAATTTTCCAGAGAAGCTGGAAATCTGGGCTTTTATATTAAGTCTCTGGATTTCAAAATGTTTGTAACTAAATTCAGTTTGTTATTATTATATAACGCTTGCAGGCCAAACAAAACATGACCGTGGGCCAAACATGACCCACGGGTTTTCAATTTCTGCCTTGTTGGCCTAGACGGTCTGAGAAGGGAACTCCAGCTGTGGGGAGGCTGAGGTTATTTTTGTGATCAGGTGATTTTTGTCTAGGAACAATGATTATGTCCACACATAATGGTTCAAGATGAAAGACATTTAATTCTTTCTCAGGAAACTTTTAGGTGCCTATGGGAATAACTTCTAACCTAGTATGTGCACATTTTTCCGCCTTCGAAATGAACCACCCCGGGACCCAGGTTAGGCCATTTTGGAGAGAAATGACACAAAAAGAAAGACTTTCACAGTGTGGTCAACATGGGGTGCTCAAAAAAACCTAAATTTCTTAACTCCTGTTGTTGGTCACCACCCTTATAGATAGTATCAGTTTAGGGAGAGTAGAGATACACATAGGAAATAGACGTCTTTTCTCCCCTTGAGGAATTTATTGAAATGTAGATTACCGGGAACACAGAGGCGGGAGGCCCTCCCCCTTCCCCGGCTGATCACGGATGGGCTGTTAATTCAGCGCTGCTCTAGCCTCACATGCTCCTGAGACCCTGGAAAGGGTAAGCTGCCTGCTGCAATTATACAAATTAGAGTAGGCCCAGAAATGGGGATTTCCTTCAGCAGACCGGGAATAAGGGGAAAAGAGTACTTCTCTTTTCATACTTTTGGGCTGGGTATTTGTAGAAATTGAAA